GACTTTTAATTCCTTAAATACGACAATTCTTAGAAAGATATTGCCTAACTGACAATTTGTACAGTTTCAATCCTTCAATTCCTTGTGAAAATAGAGTGAAGTGTAATGTCCATCAACTCCTTTCCAAGTTTCTTCTCCTTGCTTAGAAACTTCTGATATAGTCTCCATGAGTCTCTTCTTCTTTTTGAATTTGCTTTTTAAGACAAACGAAACTTTGAGATAAAAATAAAAGTAAAAATAAACTTAGCACATAATAGAAAATAACTAAGAAATAAAAATAAAATTAAAATACACTCAAAAATAAAAATAAAATATATTTGGATTTTTAATTTTCTGAAAAGGAAATAAAACAGAAATAAACATATTTTTGGATTTATGATTTTTGTTTGATTTTTTTTAATTCTCCCCCTAAATTTGTGCATAGAGGAAAAATATGAACAAATTTAACAAAAACAAAAATAATAACTAAATTTAAAACTTTTTGGGATCAAAGTTGTTAAGAAATTCAATATCGTTTATCAGCAGACACCTGCATGTTTAGCTTTAGTCAATCACAAATATTGTGGTCTACTTAAACACAGAGGATATTGACAAGTTGGACAGATTATAAATGAGAAGACATTGTGATTATATTCCTAAATAATATTCCAAAATAGGCCATTTTGCTGACGACGACCAAGGATATTGTTGTCCACTTAAATTCAGCAGCGATATCTACAGACAACCTTTAGTTAATTCAATTTTAAGTGCACTAGAACGTGTTACCCACTTCACGACATACCCTAGTAATCAAGGAATTCCAAAGAATTCTTTACTTTAGGTGAGTGCTCAATTATTTGAGAGAGAAGATAGATATAGAGATGCATATGTTGTGCCCCAGGTTAGATCTCTTCCAATCACGCAGAGGGGACAACATATGACTTACATAGGTAGAGGGATAGAGAGAGAGAAAGTTGCATATGTTGTGTCCCAGGTCGGATCTTCCGATCACGTAGAGGGGACATCATATGACTGACATAGATGGATAGAAAGATGCATAGAGATAGATGCATATATATATAGAAATAGAGATGCATATGTTGCGTCCCAGGTCAGATCTTCCGATCACGCAAAGGGGGCAATATATGGCTGACAGAGAGGATAAGAAAGAAAAACAATATCAAACCGACATACTTTATCAGAACCCCCCAGTCATCCTATCAGCACCAAAATTAAGGACATTAGTCCGTAGGTCAAAGAAGTGTTGAGCCACAGTTCTAGATGATAAGTAGTTTTAATGTATCGCGCAGGCTCCCTTGTTTATCTCACCGATCAATCTATCCAAGTGTCGTATGATCAGTCCAAATGTAACTATCTAAGTCCAAATGAGTTAACACTGTTAGGTCCTTTCATTGTCAACAGTGTCTAGTCCTTTCATTTTGAATCCTTCGTGCCTACTAGCACATTGAGCACAGAGTCTAAACAATTCAGCTTCAGTGCGTTACACGAATTTCAGATTGCCCTTTAACACTAAACTTCATATCACTTCCCAAGAATACTTACGAAAGAAAACATATTTTTTGTATTTTTGATTTTATAATTTTTTTGTATTTTTGATTTCTCACCCTTAATTTGTGCATGGGGAAGAAAGGAAATAAAATAAATGCGCAAATTTAAAAAAAATTGTCGTCAAAACGAATCATTTTAAGAAAAACTTAGAAGTATCGAGAAGAAAACTCAAACTGTAATTCAACAATTGAAGTTGCATCCAGATGATCTGAGAACAGCACGTAGATGCAACAACATGTTCAGCCTCAGCTGTGTTTCAATTCCGAAACGAAGTTAAGATATTCAATATTCATCATGCCATTAAATGAGATCCCCATTTGTGATCCTTTCTTTCTTCCTTCCCGCAACGGACACATGCCCTCAATTAAAGTTCTAAATCTAATGTAGTTGATAGATGTCTCCTGTCATGTGCTTGGAACAACCACTTTAAACCTACCGAAGTATGATGATATTCCTCCATAGCTGCTCCAGCACAAAGTGTGGGATTAGTTGGTCTTTGGAACCCAGTCCATTTTAAAACTAGGTTGAACTTTATCATCTAGACAAGGTACTCTCTCCCATGACATATCCTGTTTGTCACACACAGAAGATGAAGAAATGTTAGAATCATTAGATGATTTAGGAGTGTGAACTTTTGGTACCCATGTGTAATCCGGTTCAACCCATTTCTTGTTTGATCGGACGGATGCCTCAACACTCGTTTTAGAACTTGAAGCCGACCGCCGAGATGACTTCGACCTAAACGATCTTGGTCTAACATAACCATCTCTTGAATTTGGCTTCTTGTCAGACATTCCCTTCTTGTCCTTGGGAGATTGATTCTTGCCCTTCTTAGCATTCCATTCACCATTGTGTGAACGTGACCTCGAAGGGTTTCTTTTAGAGGATCTCCCTTTTGGCATATTCTTCCAACCTTGTGCATAATAGGGCACATATGCACGATTTGGATAATTTCTGGCAATGTGTCCAGGTGTTCCATATTGGAAACAAGTCTGTTTCTTCATGTAGAAATTGTTTCTGTCTGTCCCTGGTAGCGTGCCCATGCATTGTCTCTGATTGTTCCCACAAACACACTTACAGCAAGGAGTCGGTTTCGCTTGTTTTGGTGGCCTGTATTTACCAACAACAGGTTTATTAGAAGTAACAGAATTAGAAGCAACATATTCAGAGTTCAAAGAGACATTGGTTAGACAATCAACAGAATTAACAGAACTAGACTTATTTATGTTCTCCTTGTTCTCATCTTCCACTACTTTACCTGCACATAAAGTAGAGGCGTTAATATCGCTCGCCTCAATATTCTCAGTTGGACCAGATTGTCCAGTCTTAACTGAAGCTGGTACAGGGGGCGGGCCAAACTAAGCAGGTATCTACCTCATTGGTTTCAAAGGGCGGGGTATAGTTGTTATTGAAGGGAGGTGGACCACTGTGATACCTTAGACCCTTATTCTGATTATCTTTTAATTTTAACTGTTTTTCTATCATGGACACAACTAATTCACTTGACACCTCAAATTTCTTAAAGTTAAATTCAACATCTTTATATTTAGCTTTTAATGCATCAAGTTCGGCAGTTAATTTCACAATTTTTACGTGAGCATAATCATAATGTTCGCATTTAATGTTGTATTCTTCCTTAATTCTTTTTAAATCTTTTGTTTGGGCCTCTAATTTTTCTTTTAATGGTTTTTGGGCCTTTCTGATAGTGTATCCTTCATATTTAAGGTCCTCAATGTCCCTAATTAATAATTCATGTTGATCGCGATAATGTTTAATTTTAGCTTCACATGACTAAGAGCATGAGGTTTTACTTACCTCTTTTGTGGTAGACTCTATTTGAATAATACCAAATAAAGAGAAATTAGCCGAAAGCACCAAAAATCAACAAAGATTGTTGACCGAGAACACCAAGAGTGAACACCGAAAATAAATGATTTCGGCCGAGAATCCCACCGTAAATCTTGGTTTCTTTTGATGATTTCGGCACAAAGAGTTGACCGAAAATACCAATTTTGACCAAAATGTGACCGAGATTTGAATTGAAATTAATAAAAATGGGCCGAAAACAACAAAATCAAATTCTGAGCCGAAATCAAAATTTTTAAAATGGGCCGAAATCTCAATTGTTGACCCAAGTGTTGATTGTTTACAATTAAAACCTGAAATTGCAAAGCTAAATTTTGAAGTAAAAAAAAAATTGATAAATTAAAAAAAAATCACAATTGAAATGGTAAAAGCTCAACGAAATCACAATTGAAATCACAATTGAAGCTAATGACCGAAATTACAATTGAAATGGTTAATTTAAAAAATTTAAGAAAATTTGACCGAAATCAAATTTTTTTTGGGACCGAAATCAATTTAATAAAACTTGACCGAAATAAAAAAAAAATCAATTTAATAAAACTATTTGACCGAAATCAATTTAATCAATTTTAGAATTTGACCGAAATAAAAAAAACAAAAACTAAATCAAGTGGACCGAAAACAAGGGAGTTATTTGAAACAGAAACAAATCTAATTCCTTAAAATACGTGATTCACTTGATAAGATTCCAAATTTAATCCCGACGAATCAGAAGAATATGCCCAAAATTCATGATGAACACAAACAACACCCAAGAACAGTTTCACTAAGAACATAAAAATTTATAAATCTAACCAAAATTTTCGATTAAATCAATAATCCAAAACAGAAAAATAACGAGCCCAAGGTCCTTGAATCGATTGATACCCTTTAAAGCACTGATACCAATTGTAAGTCCCAAAACTATGAATCTTATGCAATATCAATCTTAATTGCTTAAAGAATGTGGAATGTTAATTAAGCAATGATTCAAGAACACACAAATTCACTTCAAATGCACACAATTCTATTTGGAATAAACCGTCTGGTACATATGAACTCAATGCAGCCGAATACTAAGAATGGAACAACAATTCCTAAGCAGCTGCATACAATTATATATACGTGCCAAATACAACACCATAAAGGCCCAAACCCATCATGACCGAAATCACCATAGTGATTTCGGTCCTTACAACCGAAAACATAATAAGCCTATCAATAAAGTACTATTCTAAGCCCAAGAACAATTAACATTATAAGCCCAGCATAAACCACAAAAAGAAGGGAGCTACGTCTGAGTTAAACTTGGAGATGGAAGTCTTCTTTCGTTTCTCGACAGTAAAGTAAGAACAAGCTCATGAACATATTATCTCAGGTCGGAACAAGTTGATAGGATCCCCCTTTTTACGTCCCCATGCCCCCTGTGTGGCGACATGGGGGTGAAAAAAGGAAAGAGAGATATGAGGTTTCTCTCGCTTTTGGCATAGTGGGTCCCCCAGTGGGGGGCTCGCACGACGGGCTATTAGCTCAGTGGGTAGAGCGCGCCCCTGTATTTGTGTCGTTGTGCCTGGGTTGTGAGGGCTCTCAGCCACATGGATAGTTCAATGTGCTCATCGGCGCCTGGCCCTGAGATGTGGATCATCCAAGGCACATTAGCATGGCTTACTCCTCTTGTTCGAACCGGGGTTCGAAACCAAACTTCTCCTCAGGAGGATAGATGGGGTGATTCAGGTGAGATCCAATGTAGATCCAACTTTTGATTCACTCGTGGGATCCGGGCAGTCCAGGGGGGCCACCATGGCTCCTCACTTCTCGAGAATCCATACATCCCTTATGAATATATGGATAACTATCTCTCGAGCACAGGCTTAGGTTCGGCCTCAATGGGAAAATAAAATGGAGCACCTAACAACGCTTATTCACAAACCTAGAACTACGAGATCACCCTTTTCATTCTGGGGTGACGGAGGGATCATACCATTCGAGCCTTTTTTTCATGCTTTTCCCCGAAGTCTGGAGAAAGCTAAAATCAATAGGATTTCCCTAATCCTCCCTTACCGAAAGGAAGAGCGTGAAATTCTTTTTCCTTTCCACAGCGACCAGGAGATTGGATTTAGTCGTAAGAAGAATGCTTGGTATAAATAACTCACTTCTTGGTCTTCGAACCCCTCAATCTATCTCTTGACTTGAAATGGGAGTAGGTTTGAAAAAGGAACTTAGAGTGTCTAGGGTTGGGCCAAGAGGGTCTCTTAACGCCTTCTTTTTTCATCTCATCGGAGTTATTTCACAAAGACTTGCCATGGTAATGAAGAACGGGGGGGGGGGGGGGGGGGGGAGGAGAACAAGCACACTTGGAGAGCGCAGTACAAAAGAGAGTTGTATGATGCGTTCGGGAAGGATGAATCGCTCCCGAAAAGGAATCTATTGATTCTCTCCCAATTGGTTGGACCGTAGGTGCGATGATTTACTTCACGGGTGAGGTCTCTGGTTCAAGTCCAGGACGGCCCAGCCGCATCAGGGAAAAGAATAGAAGAAGCGTCTAACTCCTTCATGCATGCTCCACTTGGCTCGGGGGGATATAGCTCAGTTGGTAGAGCTCCACTCTTGCAATTGGGTCGTTGCGATTACGGGTTGGATGTCTAATTGTCCAGGTGGTAATGATAGTATCTTGTACCTGAACCGGGTGCTCACTTTTTCTAAGTAATGGGGAAGAGGACTGCAACATGCCACTGAAAGACTCTACTGAGACAAAGATGGGATGTCAAGAACCTCAAGAACGTAGAGGAGGTAGGATGGGCAGTTGGTCAATTCTAGTATGGATCGTACATGGACGGTAGTTGGAGTCGGCGACACTCCTAGGGTTCCCTTATCGGGGATCCCTAGGGAAGAGGATCAAGTTGGCCCTTGCGAATAGCTTGATGCATTATCTCCCTTCAACCCTTTGAGAGAAATGCGACAAAAGGAAGGAAAATCCATGGAGCGACCCCATCATCTCCACCCCGTAGGAACTACGAGATTACCCCAAGGACGCCTTCGGCATCCAGGGGTCACAGACCAACCATAGAACCCTGTTTAATAAGTGGAATGCATTAGCTTTCCGCTCTCAGGTTGGGCAGTAAGGGTCGGAGAAGGGCAATCACTCATTCTTAAAACCATCGTTCTTAAGGCCAAATAGTCGGCGGAAAAGGGGGGAAAGCTCTCTGTTCCTGGTTTCCTGTAGCTGGAACCTCCGGAACCACAATAATCCTTAGTTAGAATGGGATTCCAACTCAGCACCTTTTGAGTGAGATTTTGAGAAGAGTTGCTCTTTAGAGAGCAAAGTACGATGAAAGTTGTAAGCTGTGTTCGGGGGGGGGGGGGAGTTATTGTCTATCGTTTGCCTCTATGGTAGAATCAGTCGGGGGACCTAAGAGGCGGTGGTTTACCCTGCGGCGGATGTGAGCGGTTCGAGTCCGCCTATCTCCAACTCGTGAAGTTAGCCAAAACAAAGTTATATGACAACACCCAATTTTTCCGATTTGGCGGTTTGATTTATGATTTATCATTCATGGACGTTGATAAGATCCATCCATTTAGCAGTACCTTAGGATGGCGTAGCCTTAAAATTTAGGGTGAGGTTCAAACGAGGAAAGGCTTACGGTGGATACCTAGGCACCCAAAGAGGAGGAAGGGCGTAGTAAGCGACGAAATGCTTCGGGGATTTGAAAATAAGAATAGATCTGGAGATTCCCGAATAGGTTAACATTTCAAACTGCTGTTGAATCGATGGGTAGGAAAGAGACAACCTGGCGAACTGAAACATCTTAGTAGCCAGAGGAAAAGAAAGCAAAAGTGATTCCCGCAGTAGTGGTGAGTGAAAATGGGAGCAGCCTAAACCGTGAAAACGAGGTTGTGGGAGAGTGTGACATCCCCATTTTCACGGCCAGAAAAGACCGATTTTGTTTATGCTTTGTTTAAAAATTAGAGTAACATTTTAAATAAAAGTGTTGCGGAATTTGTTCCCAAAATAAAATATGATAAAGATTTATCAAAGCATTTCCGTAAAAATGTATTTCATTAAAAACCTCGGGATGTCATGTTCGATACACATCAAAAGCATAAACAGTACAATATAAGCCTCACTACATTTATTCATATCTACATGCCTATATCCGTAATCTCTCATCCCAAACATCATATCTATGCTCGTGCACCACTACCTGTAATACAAGAAACTGAGTGGGTCAGGCTTGGGAGCCTGGTGAGCACATAGGGTTTTCAACCCACAATAGATAAGTTTATTAATTTCATCAACCAACAATAACCCGATTACCCGTTCCCGTTATCCTCACTTTATGTCCATAAAACACCTATCATAAGGGACCTAACCTAAGGATCATCATCGAGATGGAGACTACTGCTAAGGGGATTCCTCAGCAATAAATGTCCTTAAGGCAACCATGAGGGGGATGGAGTACACCGGTGAACACATCGTTCACAAACACCTATAGGTTGCGAGCCTGCTAGCGTTCCACTGGACTGTCTAGAAGAGTCTGTGGTCGTCATCCGTACTCCGCTAGATGACAGAATCAACAACAACAACATCGAGGCCTCTCATCGATTTATCACACATCGTCTATTACATCTACCCATGTTTACCCCAACATTTTGTAGATATAAAATACATATACAGTTTAAATCATTAAAACATGTATAAAAATCTTTCACCAGCATAGACAGCAAGTATTCAATATGCACACATAGCACGTAGTTTATATTAAATACTTCATATCTATGTGTAAGATGAAAGTAACTATGCACTCACCTGAAAATATGGTGACTCTGCACTCGGACAGCGCTTCGTTACTCTTAAAACAATTTTCCTTGACAAAACAGCGGGTTTTTATTAAAAAACGGGTTTCGCTGGAGCAGCGTTTCCGAGCCGAAAGCTTTTCTTCTAGGAGCCGTCGGGCGCTCTGGGGCTTCCTTCTCGTGCTAGGGATGTTCCCTAGACTTGGGAGGGGTTTAGGGAGGCTAGAGAGAAGTTAAAGAGAGAAAGAAAGGCTTATGGTGTGCAGAAAATATGAAGAGTTTACCCTTTATTTATGGGGATTTTATAGTAAAGTAGCCCCTAAGTTTCGTCTGTATCTTCCGTGTACAGGCTCCGTTTTCTACGTTATTTATATCCACGCGTTGGTATTTACGAGTACTACAACTTTCATTTAGACCCCGTCTGCTAATTCTCCTTCTATCTCAGATTTACAAAAACTGTATCGTATTTATCGCGCACGAAGAGTAGCGACTAAGCTCCATCCATATCTTTCGCATACGAGCTCCGTTTCTGACGTTATTTATATCCTCGCGTTGGTATTTACGAGTACTACAACTTTCATTTAGACCCCGTTGACTAATTCTCATTCTATCTCGGATTTACAAAACTGTATCGAATTCGTCGCGCTCGAAAAGTAGAGACTAAGCTTCGTCTATAACTTTCGCATACGAGCTCCGTTTTTGACGTTATTTATATCAACGCGTTGGTAAAAATAAAATCTACAACTTTCCTTTTTACTCCGTCGGCTAATTCTCGACCGATCTTAAATTTAACAGTAGGAGGTGATTACACTGTTAAATGTCCGCGTAAAATTCATAACTTTTACATACGGACTCCGTTTTCGTCTGTCTTTTTGTCGTTGAGTTCCTATTAATGAGATCTTCAACTCTCATTTAGGTCGCGTAAGCCAAAAACCGCTCGCACTAAAATTCGAGTTTCGGGTCGTGCACTGCTATGCCAAATCTTATAAAAATCATAACTTCCTCATACGAAGTCAGATTTGGGCGTTCTTTATATCCCCGAAATCCTTGTTTCGACCACCACCACTTTATGTAAAGATATCGGGCTTATCTCACACTTTAATTTTGACGCTTATTTTTATTCTTTATTAATTATACCTTTATAATTAAGTATAAAGCACATAAATTCACATAATTCACATAATACTCAAATAATTCATTTTTATTACTTCAAAAAGAGTTACAATAGACCTAGAATATTACATCATCTATTAATGCTTAGCCCCGAAACCGGGGCGTTACAATTCTCTCCCCCTTAGGATGATTCCGTCTCGGAATCATGCATCAGCAAACAGATGTGGATAGCGACTCATCATGTCACTTTCTGTTTCCAAGGTGAGATTCGGCCCATTCGTATGTTTCCAACGGACAAGCACTAAGTCGACCATCTTGCGTCGTAACTTCTTAGTCTTACGGTCAACGATTGCCTCGGGCTCTTCGATTAGCCTCTTATTGTCATCCGTCCTTAACTCTGAGATTGGAATTATGTCGGGAACTTCTCGTGTGAATTTCCTCAAATAACACACATGGAAGGTGTTATGAATACCATCTAGTTCTTCGGGTAATTCGAGCTTGTAGGCTTGGTTCCCAATCCTCTGAAGAACTTTGAACGATCCAATAAACCTTGGACTCAACTTTCCTCGTTTCCCGAATCTTATAAGTCCCTTCCACGGTGAGACTTTAAGCAAAACGGAATCTCCAACTTCAAAAGTCATCGGTCGTCTTTTCTTGTCAGCATAGCTCTTCTGACGGTCCTGAGCTGCTAACATCCTTTCCCTGATCACCTTTAACTTCTCAGTAGTCTCATGGACTATCTCGGGGCCCATAAACTGCTTCTCTCCGGTCTCAAGCCAACAAGACGGCGTACGACACTTCTGTCCATACAAAGCTTGATAGGGTGCCATCTTGATGCTCGAGTGGAAACTGTTGTTGTAGGAAAACTCTACCAAAGGTAAGTGCTCATCCCAGTTACCTTGGAATTCTAGGGTACATGCTCTTAGCATATCTTCGAGTGTTTGTATCGTTCTTTCGCTCTGACCATCAGTCTGCGGATGGTAAGTTGTACTCAAACACAACTCCGTACCCAATTCCTTTTGTAGACTTCTCCAAAATCGTGACGTGAAACGACTATCACGATCCGATACAATCGTTAGAGGAACATTGTGAAGTCTTTCTATCTCCTTCACGTAAGCATTTGCGAGCTTATCCATAGAGCACCTTTCAGTGGCTGCTATGAAGTGTGCACTCTTAGTGAAACGATCCACGACCACCCAAATCATGTCGTGACCGTTCTTCGTCCTGCGCAGTTTAGTCACAAAATCCATGGTGATGTCTTCCCATTTACCCATGGGTACTGGTAAGGGTTCTAAACTCCCATATGGTTTCTGATGTTGTGCCTTAACTCTTGCACAAGTTACACACTCGGCCACATACTTTGCAACATCGAGCTTCATCGTCGGCCACCCGTAGTAGGGTTTTAGGTCCCTATACATTTTAGTGCTACCGGGATGAATTTAGTATATGGTCTTGTGAGCTTCTTCCATCAGAAGATCTCGTATCCCTCCCGTATTAGGTACCCAAATTCTATCTTGGAATACCTTCCTTGACTGTTTGTCCCGAAAACCAACGTTTTACCCAAACGTTCTTCTTTTCGGTCATTCTTCTCTGTAGCTTCTTCTTGAGCTTTCTTTATACTTTCCACAATGGTCGAGAC